GATCACTTGTAACAGGGCAGAGATAAAGAAAGTGTGGGAAAAAACGAGAGGGAAAATAGAGAGGGAAAAACGGAAAAGGGTGGAGAAGGTCAATTTGAACCTCAAGGACAGGATGGGGGAATTGAAGATAGGGACGACAGTCTATCGTAGGGTAGGTTCTAATAGGGGGAAAGAACTGGCACGCTACGAAGGACCATTCAAAGTGATTATACTTCGCAAACACAATCTTTGTACAATTCAGAGTCTGAACGATCCCAGGAAACGGAGGACCGTTCATATAGAACAGTTGAAACTCCCGATAGAGCCGGGCCAGTAACGTAAATAAGTGGTATATCCTCTTTTCTGTCTCCTACAAGCTATGGAAGGACGGTAGAAGGTTTATTTCGGTTGTAGCTCTTTTATTGCAAGAAAAATGTTTAATTTTGTTTGTTCTTTGTTATGGCTGTATGGGAACGCCAAGGAAGATTATTTTGTTTTGTTGTTTTGTTTTGTTATGTATTATATCAGTAACCCTGCGTTAGTTTATGAGGAGTGTTCATAAACTGGCGGGGGGAGTTATGGTTAGATGTAAGTTGATATATTATTTAATCCTATTCAACAGTTGTAAACAAGCCGTAATGCTATATATATAGCATTACGGAGAGAATAAAGTCAGTCTTATTTGAGCAACCACGTGTTTTATTTCGGACCTTTCTTTCTTTTTTTTATCTTTTCTTGTTCGAACAGACGTAAGTTATATATATATATATATATATATATTACGATCGAGAAAATTTTTAAATCTGAGTTTTCAACGGAAATACACGTTTTGAGGTACCCTGAGTCGAAATGACCTAGTTCCGAAAAATGGTCTGTGATTTTGTATGTTAGCAGTCTAGCTCAAAAACGAAAAGTCGTACGAAACTGATATTACGTATTTAAGATAGGTATATGCCTTAGATGTGACAGCTACTTTTTCCTTAAAATTGGCTAACCGGAAGTGCCACTTTATAACAACGCTGAAACACATTTTCACAATTTTCTCAAAAACGGCTGTAACGATTTTCATTAAACTCGGTGTATCATTGTATAATTAAGTGGTCTTTAATATCAATTAGGTCTTATCCCCATTTATGTCACTTTACAGGGCTTAAATGCCCAATGTTCATATATGTCTTCCTCCACAGGCGGATCTACGGTGGGGGGGACTTTCGGGCTGAAGCCCTCCCCAAAATGGTAAAATATAACCATGTTTTACAGAAAAAAATATTAAAAACTATCTCTTAAAGTATTCTTGTTCCTGTAATTACTTTTAATAGGACTTCAGGAACCACTTAAATAATATTTCATATAGGTAGTTAATTTCTTTCTTTTTTTTTCACATGAATTATCGTTATATGTATATGACGAAAAAAATCTTTCGGGCTGAAGCCCCCCCTAAAATTAAATTCTGGATTCGCTAGTGTCTTCCTCTAAAGTACCTTTAATATGTTTTTTTTTTTTTTAAGTTAATCATTTCGCATTATTCAGAGTTACGAAAAAACGCTACATATAACTTTTGAAAGAATTTTATAAGTTAATAAAGGAGAAAAAAAAAGAAAAATGCAGAAAAACCTGCGTTGCCATAGACTGTAGCGCCTAAACGAATGTACCGATTTCAATGAAACTTCGCTAATGTCATTTTCTCGACACCCTTTAAATTTATCTATATAACATACCACAATGAAAAGAAGCTGGAAAAAAAGTTACGAGGGATGGCAAAATTAAATTCCGAATAACTCAACAAGTATACACTTTTTTGTCGATATTGTATATGGTTTTTTTTAAGTTTACGGAATTTCCTAAAAAAAAAAAAAAATCTTTGAAATTGGACAATTAGGAAGAAAGATGTGGTGTCTAGTTTTTTTTTTTTTTTTTTAATATGTTCTGCTGCAAACCTTATATCTTTCGTTTTGGTTTTTGAATTTTGAATGTGTTACTTAGATAATGCTAATTGTTTTAGCATATTACTAATGATTAAAAAAAAATTTAGTCCATTAATTGAAACCATCTTTTATTTTTTTTTATTTTTAACTAGGAAGGTAATGATACTTTAGATGTATAATTGTTATTATAAAATAATAAACCATTGTGAAATAATTTGCAGCGTTTTTTATATACAATACATATTGTTGAATGTTTAATATTAATTTTTTAATTTTATTATTTGTTGTATAATTGTGCTAATGTCTAATAGTAAGTTATCAGAAAGGATATTTTATATATATATTTTTTTAGATGAAAACTCAAAATATACCGTAAAAAACAAATTTTATCCCGAAAGACTCGAAAATTTGGATAAATTTAAATTATACTTTTTTAATTGTTGAGACTAAAAAAAACCTTTTTTCTACAGATATTTAATTAAGTATCTTTCATTAGAAATAATATCCTAAATTTATACCTTTATTTACCATTCTATATTTCAACACTGCAATCACCACCTCCGGGACCAACTTACTCACTGTCTGCATAGATAACTTTTTCAACTAAAAATATCACTAAAATGACATTACTCAAAAAGGTTAAATTGGAGTTAGTCATTCTATGGTTTATAAAAGCAAAGAAAGTTGTGTGGTTTGTAAAAGCAGATGGAGTGACTAAATTTTTATTGCCTACCGTCGATATATTAAATCGACATTTTGTAATTATAATGGTCTTAATGACTTGTTGTCTGTAAGCTTTAGCTTTAGCTCCGTTTAAAATGCACTTCAAAAAAATTTATAATAACCCAGCATTGCCAGAAAGTAATTTCTATTCAAAGTAGAGCGGTAAGTGAAAGTTGTATGTTGCGCGCACCAGATTTTTATTCTTTGTAACTAGGATGGTAATATTACTTTAGGTGTATAATTGTTTGGAAATTATAAACCATTGTGATATAATTAGCAACTTTGTAAAATATTTAGCGAAAAAAGGCTAAATATAACTTTTGAAAGAATCTGATAATTGAATAAAGGAGAACAAAAATATAAATGCTTATATAGATTGAAAATAAATCTCCGGAAATACAAGTCAGAAGGCATACTAATAATATATCGTTGGAAAGCGGAGAATGTTAGAAGAAAAAAATATCGAATATAGAAAGTTGTAGAAAATAACGGAGAGCGGTGAAAAAAAATATAAATAATGATTTTTGAAAACTGATAATATTTTACGTAAATCACATGCTTTCAAGGAAATTGAATGAAATTTACTAACACAATGTAAACTTTAAAAAAATATTTTTACGTCTGTAGAGAGTATTTAAAATCAACCTAAGCAAGTTAATGACATTGTTAAAAAAACGATTTGATTGTACTTGTGTGAAAGAAGAAGTAAAATATAAGATCATTTCATGGATGTATAAATCATGTGTTTATAATCTTAAATACATTTATTGTAGTTTAGTTATTATAGATCTGATATTATATTTAAATAATAAGGTATCAAAGTTTATTCCGAAATATTGTCATATAACTTTTTATGATTTGTTAGCTGCAATCTTTTAGCTTTAGCTCAGTTAAAAATTGAATTAAAAACATTTTACAAGGCCAGAAAATAATTTCTATTCAAAGTTGAGCAAAGTTCAAAGAGCAAGTGAAAGTTGTGTGTTACAGGCACCAGATTTTTTAAAATTAATTTAATAAAATTTATAAAATTTAATAAAATCTAGCCAAAATTCTAGATCCATTAGCAGTATTGAATTTTCAAGATTAAGTTAGCACTTATAGAGGAAGTAAATTCCAGTTAAATAAAATTATGGTATAACATAGGTGCATACTTTCGGTTCTGATTGAGATGGTAATGGACCGAAAAAAAAAAAATTGCAGAGATTTCATCAAAAAATTTGTGCCATCAAACAAAAATTAATGCCGCCGCTCGCTTAAAAAATCGTTACAATGCTTTTTACAAATCAATTGAACACAATTTATTTAATGCCGGGCCAGTATTTAGTTCAAATTGTTTTAAAACACTCAGGAGATTTCATCGAATAATTTGCTCCATCTAACTTAAAAATCGATCCAGCTGTTCGCTTCGAAAACCATTACATAGCTCTAAAAATGTGTAAAAAATATGTTTGGTTTCTTAGTGTGTACAACCTCAACTAAAAATGTAACGATTTTCACAGTCCGCTAGTTTGCCGCGGAAAATGTGATAAGAATATCGCGTGAAAATTTAGGGGTGATTGAATCATAAAATTCTAGGATATGTTGGTATATATTATTATCTTTGAATATAAATGACAGTTTAAATAAAAGTAATATTAGGTGTCAATAAAATAGTTACATATCTACTACTATGACATAGCCTAGTCAGTCAACTTTTCTTAATCGGTTTTAGTTTACACATTTTATTCATTCATGTAGCTTATTTATTATCGATTTAATTTTTTTACCTCAAATTATTGGGGAGAGGTATATTCTCGCCTCCTCAATATTTTTATTGCGATGGGGCGATCGCTACCTTCCCTGTTGAATGGTGCCTATGTGGAATAAGATCTTAACTTCTGGTAGTTGAGGTGTACTAGGCAGATGATCTATAGCCAACTCCCTCCCCTCGTTTTTCCTACTCACTATGAAATTTTACTGTGTTTAAGTAAAACTTAGCTTCATGAGAATATGTAACTTCCAATATATATGGAAGTTTACAATGCATACAAACCTGCCTTAGAGTGCCGACCTGGAGGGACATCCGCCTCTTGTTGAGAATTACCAACAATTAGAAAGCATATTAATAAAACAACCACTTTTGAGCCTTATCCAAAGAAATAATTCAATCCAAGCATGAAGTAATATACCACAAGTGCCTACTTTCCTCCTAAATTACTTGGGATCACAAAATGTCTAAGGCCGCCACTGTATGTTAAGAATGCAGACAGCATTACTACCATAGATGGGATTAAACAAGTGAAAATTATGAAAAATGTTTGTTAAAAAACTCGACCAACTCAGTTGACTGATATCGATACTAAAAATTAATGTTGTACAAACGACATATAAACATTTCTCTTTGTAATAACCTCCTCGTTAATTTGAAATGTGGAGTTCATTTCGCTCTTTGTATTTTTTGATAAGTTAACATGACAAAATTATTGGAGTGGTTGTGCTTTTTGCTTGTTTATTTTGTTACATGGTTGTTAGTTCTAACTAAGTACATTAATCTTAATATCTCTGATGAGTGGAACAGTTTTGTTGTTTATTTCCCAGTTTATACAGTTTTTTTAGTTGGTGTAAGTTTTATTTAGCTTGATATTTTATGATGATTATGTATATATCATTGTATTATTGTACTTAAAAATGTATGTATGAAGAGTTTTAGATAGGTTTAAAGGACTTGAACTACTTGATTTTGAGTATGCAAGGATATTCATATTATTTTACTGTGCTGCGGTTTCAATTTTATGAGAAAACCAGCTTCATGAAAGCTAAACTGAAGCAATAATCACTAAATAGTGTATGAAAAGTTCCAAGGAGATGTATAGTCTATTTGTTTTATAAGGGTGTTTAAAGTATTATTTAGCATGTTTTTTTCCCCCTGATATCTTTGCATTTTTAAAATATCAGGAAATTGATTTATCTACTGAAAATCTTCCAGTTAACAAGAAACTACGATAAATCTGCAAAAACGGGTGTATAATTACTTTATTTATGGATTAATAGTATAGCCTGCAGATATATTTAAAACTGTACAAATGTCACTCCACCTAGTCCAGTGGGCCAAGATCTTTTTTTTTTTTCTAAAATAAATATTAAATATATAAACATATTCCTAAAGGAATTAACAATCCTCCCAGAGGTTAAGTTAGTTCCCAACACACTTGGCCATTCTCAGGATTCCTTTTATTCCGTGAACAATTTGTCTTGGCTAACTGGATAAGGTGGAGTAAAAATTATACAGTGGCACCCCACTTTTAACAATGCTGTCTGTGTTTAACAATGATTTAATGTGTTAAAGTCTGCTTACTATTAAATCAGTTTAAAATTTAAATCATGTGACCACCCTCACTCTGATTTCAGCTAACTTATTGGAGTTATAAAATATTCTATTGACAAAAATATCTTATTTGTCTGTTTCATTAAATAATTAATCTTTGCATTGAACAAGCCCCTTCAGGATCACAATCTGAAATATATTTCTTCTTTATAAAGCTGTTGCCATATTTTCCAAGAAGCAGCGATCTGTCTCTGTTCACTCTTTTACTAATATCTTTACAAGTTCACCATGAAGTTTCTAAATTTAGAGATTAATTAGCTTATAATAAAACTGGTTAATTCTTCTTCTTTTATTGGCACAACAGGCGCACGAAGCTACCCTTGGCCTGCTCAACAGCCGCCAACCATCTCTCTATCTCCTATAACGATAACAAGTATCCTCAGTTGTGGCAGATTCTGCCCCACAGTAACCTTTCGGCCTACCACGTCGGTACACACTATCTGGAATGTTAATGTACAATTTTTGAGCCACACTTTCCTCATTCATCCTTATCTTATGCCCAAACCACTTAAGCCTCTGTATCCTGATAAGCTACATTCCTTGTGGAACCTGAACAGTGCTCTATTTTATTCTTCTTCGCTAATTACCGTTCTCATATACAGACCCTAATATTTTCCTCAGAATTAACCTTTCAAACCTGTCTAGCAAGTCAAGCTTTTTTTGCATTCCTCCATCTATGACGATTGACCTTATCAGCATGAACTTGATGGTACGGCTAACAAGTTTGCTTTTTGATTAGCCTTAAAATGGAGAAATAGGCTCTATTTTCTGCTGCAATTCTGCTTTTAACCTCATTCATTCTGGTTATCGTTGATGATAGAGCCAAGATAATAAAAGCTTCTGTCCCCTTCGAAATCGTAGAGGCCCATTGCAAGGGACTCCACCTCTGATCTAGCAACTTCATATCTGATGTCATAATTTTCGTTTTTACTTCAGCATCCGCCTCTTCGAAAACCATCCTAATGCGCTCTGAAGGGATCTACCGGTGATAATGTCATCTGCATAGGCCAGGACTTAAGTGATTTTTGTAAATATTGTTTGTTCCTGATTTATTCCAGCTCTATTTATGATTTCTTGTAAAGCGATATTGAACAGGAGAGGAGCTATTGGGTCTCTCTATCTTAGGCCATTTTCTACTGCAAAAGGCTCTGATAACCCACAAGATTTTACTCAGCAGATTTTCAATACTGGCTAATTACAGAAACAAATTGTAATTTATTCTTCATGCCATTCCTAGATTTATCAATTAATACTGCCTAAAAGATGTATGAAGTAATGTAATATAATTATCTACATACACAGCAGGAAATGAAAACATTTTAACTCCATTTTGGTAAATTTAGAAAGAAGTAATTGTTAAAAAATGTATTATATAGATTTAATTCTTTAGTTTTTACTTAATCATGCAATTACATTAATTGATATTTGTAAGATATCTAGATAATTCTAAATATTTTTCAATTGTAAGGTTGGAGTTTTCTACTGTTAATAAATCTGTTTCTTTAGTTTGATAAACTATGCTTAGTGAAACAGAAGAAATATATAAATATATGTGATTTAATTTACCTATGATATGGTTCAGGATTCTGTCAGAAAATAACATCTAATAACTGCTATTTATTATTTCCAATTTTTCTACATTTATGTTAGTCAGTTATTCTGTATACCTTTTTTACTCTTTTAATAGTTTCTCTTTCATTTAAGCCCTTTTGAATACTTCAGATTTATCATACTGTTTACTAACACATAATTATATTTACAGATCTACTCTCTGATAGTAGTTTTGTGGAGAGTATATTCCTTCAACGACTGTCCAGAGGCAGCTAAGGAATTACAACAAGTAATAGCAAAAATTATAAATAAAATAATTACTTTAAATTGATGTCATACTGACTTAAAATTTCTTTGTTTTTAGCAAATCAAAGCTGCAAGAGAAGATTTGAAATTGAAGGGATTGCGAATTTAATCTGAGATTAATAACAACTATTCTTTCAATTTTTTTTTTTTATAACAAATATTTATATTTCAACAGTTTACAGATAAAATAAAGGAACTTATTGTTAAGATTGTAAACAATTTTATTACAAAGCTATTTAATGAATAAATAATATCTTACATACAAGGTATCAGATATAATGGAGTACCCATGACATTATGCTTAACCTATTTCTTATAAATTAATAAATAAACATGAAAGTTTGTATGCCATATAACGTTGCGACAGCAAAGATGTCAGACTAGGTAGATATGCTCAACCTCTTCATAATAGATACACCATTTAAAAAAAATAAATAAATATCCGGGAGAGAACTTCAGTCATTACAACATTTTATTACAATTCGTCTTTTAAGTATTTTGGTTTAAGGGACTCTATCCTCTTAATAAAATCTGTTTTTTCAATACAACCATCACAGTCTTCTTCCCAATCACTGAGGATTTTCTTCAAGTCTCTCACTTTAAGCTTCTTTAGGTCAACGGTCTTTAAATCAATAGTTCTTTCTACAAATAAAATTATAAATAAATTATTATCATGTCTTATGCTAATAACTACAACAAAATTGCTGAAAAACATATTAACACTTCATAACTCAGATTGGTGGGGTATAAACAGGAGGTGGTTAATTAAGAAAATGAGATATTTTATTCATACTTTCAGGCTGAAGCACCTCCAAAATAGTAAAATATAACCATGTTTTATAAAGAATTATCTCTAAAAGTGTTATTGTTCATCTAGATATATATATATTTTTTAAATAGTTATATGTAATAGTATCTAAAGAATCATATAAACACATAGATAGTTTCTTTCTTTCTTATGATATAGAATGAATTCTTATGATAGAATGATATATATATATATATATATACAAGAAAAATCTTTCGGGCTGATACCCCCCCCCTCCAAATTAAATCCTGGATCTGTTGATGGTTGTATGTTATGTTTGCGTTGTTCAGACTAAGTGGTGATCAGAAATAATACTGTAACGACAAGAGATTTAAGAACTAGAAATGATATTCTGATTTCCATATTCAAATATCAGAATAAGAAGAGTGGAATAAGTCAATGTAACATACTTAGTAGATATATAAGATATAGTAATTATTATATGCTGATAAATAAAACCAACAGATGACTAGTTCTATATTTCAAGTGCAGGAAAAGCTACTTAGATAATAAATTCTTATGTAAGTGATGTTAGCAATGTCAAGAAATATATAAAAAATAAAATTAATAATTTTATATAGTGATTCTTAATATTAAAAAAAAAAATTAAAGTTTTATTAATAAATGACCCATCAGCATTTGTGGTTTTATATTTTAGAATAATACGTTTTTATCAGGTCAATATTACTTGATTTTAGCATTATATAATATAATGGCTCTGACTCAAACATAAATAAAAAATCATTACATCTTTAATCCTGTACCAAAATATTTTTTTCTAGATTAAACATAGCCTTAGTTAATCATATGGGTCATTTCCAAATTTCAGTCACTTAGGACATTTGTCTTTTAAAGAATCTTTTGAGTTATTTTAGCAAGTTGCAATACTATGGGGAGTGAGCATTTAAACTTACAAGAGCACAAAAGCTTTTGAAAAAGAGTTAGTTCAAAATATTGTCAAACAAATTACTCTCTTGTTTTACTCACTAAGTATGATTAAATTTCAATTACACTTACGTACTAGAAAGTGGGATAGTAAAAAAATACTTATTATTTTCAATGAAATAATTATTCTCTATACTAAGGCAAAGATCTAGATATGAAAATAAGAAATAAATTTTTAAGAGAGTGAGCATCAACATCAATGGCGCTCTTAAAATTGTTAGGTCATGTGTAACGCATTAATCAATATTTTTTAAATTTGAATTATCAAGATTAGCCATCATATCATTTCACAATAATCCTGGATGTAAGTACCTTTTTAATGCAACAGCACTAGCATATATATAATCACCATTTCACAATAATGATGATATACTAAATTAGATAAATAATTGCAAATGCTACCAAACAATTAATGAGAAATATGCTTCTAAAATAGCAGACCATGAGAAAAAAATATTTAACTCCTTTCAGTTGTGATATGACTCTATTATTACTTAAATGTTTTCTTAACATTTAAGAATTATATCCTATCAAAATAATAGTCATTTTAATAAAAATAACAACCATAAAAAGGATATCAGACACCAAAATAAAAGGTATTAATAAAATTGCATACCATATCGCAGAGCACATATTCCTCCAACTTTTGTTGCTAATCGTTCACATAGTTTATCAATTGGTAAAGAATAAGACAGCGGTTTTGATAAATCTCTCAGAATACTTGTGGCAGACTCCTCTAACCCACCGAGGTAATAACACTAAAACAGTATGACTACTTATTATGAAAATTCATAAAATATAATGAATGTATAATACAAGGCTACTTAAAACTCAGCATAGTAAAGTACTAAGTCTTAAAAAAAAACCAGCTGGAGTTATGTACAACTCTGTAAGATATCTGTGGTGATTTGGCAAAACATCCTAAGTTACAACTTACTAGGTAACTAACAAAAATGAAAAATAAAATATCATATTATTAGTACTTAGACTTTTATTTGTTTATCAGTCTGAAAATTAATAAATGAAAGAAAGTTAGAATGACTCAATATAAGTTTTCTGATGCTTCATACCCTTTTTTAAGTTAGGGAACAGATAAATATGCCTCATCATGTAATGTCAAATCACAACAAATACACCAATAAACTAATTGAATATAGCACAGCAAATAATGATTCTTACATCAGGTTTCAGAATGAATAAAATTAATTTGTTATGACATAAACATATACTCACAAATTTGTTCTCTTTAAGTTTCGCACTATTATTACTATTCGCAGTTGTTTTACAAAACTTTTTAAATTCTTCTTCAATAAGTTGGGGCTTTGCACGCATTTCATCAGTTAGTTGGGCACTAAATCTTTCAAGAACAGTGAAACAAACTGAAATAAAAGGAAATTATAAGTATTTTTCTAAACAATTAACATGAGATATCTAATAAATCCTTTAGTAGCCACCTTCACAGTCTTCTTTCTTTAAGCTATGAACTAATTGTAACAAACATATAGTTAGAACAATTAAAAATGTTTTTGTATCACTTTTCATTGTAAATGCTTATTGCAGATTAACAAACTTAAAAATAAAAGCGTTGTCAATGCAACCGGAAATAAAAAGATTATCTTGAAATATCAGACTCTTTAACTTTTTCAACTTAATTGGCTAGTCGACATAACAAACGTGATATAAAAAAGACACTAAAATCAAACAGGACCTCACACGTTATTCGAAATTACACCTTAGGCCAAATGTCCCTATCTTATTGGTTACCACAAGCGGCGCTTAATTCGAGTGGAAAAATCAGGAAGGCTTTGCTGATCGTTAAATATCAATTGTGTAATTAAAAAAATAATTCTATAAGCTCCATTAAAAAAATAAATGCCTCTTTTTAAACCAAGAAAGAGAAATATACTTAATATTTAAAACTAATTTTTAAAAAAATAACCTGATTCTTTTGTTTTTACAAACGTATGTACCTACCTTTTTCTCCGTTCTCTGAAAAAAGAAACTGTTTTAATGATATTCACGTAATTTTTATTGGAAATAAGCACTACTAATAAACTCATAATATTATTTACAGTTAATATTACTCACCAAAAGGCTAGTGAAGAACTCACAAAGAAAGTGGAAGGACTCAATGTTATAGTTAATCCCAAGAAGTACCTCTCAGATTCTTAGACAATTCCCTGGTAAAGCTGTCATATTCCTTACATACATATACAATAACATCCTACGAACCACCGACTTTCCTCTTTTATGGAAACATTTTACTATTATCCTATTTCCAAAACCAGGTAAACCTCCCAACAGCTTAACTTCCTGCAGACCCATTAGCCTACTTCTAATCCTTGAAAAGATGCTAATGAAACGAATCCTACTCTTTATAGAATCTCAAAATCTTCCTTCGCATCAGTCCCAACACCCCGCCGTCCAACAAAAACTTCGAGTCCCGAAGCCCTGGAAAGCAAGCAGTATTGCTCGTGTGGATTTCTGGGCATAGCTGAAGTATTTGATTGGATATGTCACGCCGGGCTTCTTTTTAAACTTAAAAAAAATCTGCCTCAGTCTTCATACCTTGTCCTCCCCTCCTACCTCTGATCGTACCTTCCGAGTTCGCTGCGGCACTGAATTTTCCAGTTGCTATCCAATTGAGGCTGGTGTTCCTCAAGGTAGCGTATTGGGTCCCGTCCTTTACATTCTCTTTACCGCCGATATCCCTGTCCATCCCGATACCTTCCTGGCAACATTTGCTAATGGTACCACCATTCTATCATCCAACTCAGATCCTGATATAGTATCCTTAAACATTCAAATGCATCTCTCTCTGATTGAGCATAGAAGCACACTAAATACAAAATTTAAACTTTCTATCGAAAATAAAATACTTATTTACAAGACAATACTGAAACCTATTTGGATTTACGGACTTGAACTGTGGGGAACAGCAAAATATTCTAACATAAAACGCATCCAACCCTTCTATTCCAAAGTCCTTCGAACAATAGTCGATGCTCCTTTCTATGTAACCAACAAAACCCTACACCATGACCTTAATATCCCATTTTTCCTAGATCTTATTTCAGCAAAATTCTCCAAATTTCACCAGAACCTTAAGTATCATCCAAGTTCTCTTGTAGAATCCCTATCAAGCACCACCCATCCCTATAATCCTCCAAGAAGGTTAAAAAGGCAATGGCCCCGCGATCTTTTGTAGGTTATATATTCTGGCGATGGAGTTCTGGCAATGGTCAGTCTCTCTATTCAAGAAATGAGGTTATGTGGTTAAAGAGCTCTCGATCAATCTCCGCTGGCATTAATGTCAGATCTTGTAAGAGCAGTATCGAGCTCGTCATTTTTAAATTGGTTTAACGGTTCTATATGTTCTAAGCAGGGAACGACTAACAGATTAGGTAACCAATACTATAAGTTACAAAAATACTCTAGTGAGATTGAAAAGATCAACATTTTTCGGTGGGTCTACCAATCAGATCGGATTCGAACAAGTGTCGTCTAACTCGATAATGCCAAAGTGCCGTTCCAACAAGCTCAGTCTCTGCGGTATCGTAGTTCCCTCAGTTTACAAGTCAGTCTAAAAAGGTATTCCCAAGAATATACACATTTTGACGAATTATGTATATTTAATCACCTATATGCCAGGTTATTTGTTTAATAACGATCAGAAACGGCCCAGCGTCCTCTTGAAGTGACATTTAGACATTTCACAAACTGTGGGACAAGAAATATATAAATGGTTATTTCACTATGCTAGTATGTTTGTTTCTTGTTTTCGATATTTTCTATCTGCTAACGGTATCATGAGAAATAAAATAAATAGTTTAGTTTAGCAATAATTTCGCTGTTAGTTAAGTTAGATAATTGTGTTTTCTAAAGTTTGTGAAATGTCTAAACCCACCTTTATAGATGCTTTAACAATCTCTAATCTAACTTAAACCAATTGGCAAAAATACTAATTGTTGCGTTTTAGCAATTTTTTTCCTTTAGAGCATAAAAAGTAGTGCTGTTCTGCTATCCATGGCTTTTCATTATTTTACAGTAATTTAATTTAAAAATAAGTCACAAAAAAGTACAATAAACCACCCTTATCGTAGTAATGATTTTATATATTATATATTTATAATAATAATAATTATTATTATTATATTTATTAATATGTATATTTATATTTTCCTTTCAACTTTCTTTGCCAACTTATCTGTTATCACAGCATTGTTGTATCAAGAGAAAATAAAATGAGTAGTTTAGCAAATACTGTCGCTGTTAGTTAAGTTAGATAATTGTGTTCATCTTAGTTTTTGAAATGTCTTAATGCACCTTTAGAACATTCTAGCTCCATATTTGATAAATTATCTACAAAGCTGATCTTTAACTAATAAATTAATCTCAATCGGACTAATATAATTGAAGAAATACAGCAACAATTTTTGTTTTGGAATTTTCTTCTAAAGCGGATTGTCATTTGAGTGGATATACCAAATATTTAATTAGATATTAAATATTTTTTTTACTGTTTCATACGTTACATTTTCCATCAGAGTAACTGTTGCAATCTTCATTTCTTGAACTAAAAGATCATGTAAATATCTGAAAATACTTTGTATATAAATAAACGCATTTCATTTTTTGCACTTGATCAATTGTAGATGTGAAATAGTATTTTTAAAATTTTTTTTTATAGAAAGTCGCAAGTTTATTTTGATGCATTTTTATATTTTACTGTTATTTTAATTTTTCAACACATAATTATTACTAAAATTTCTTTCACTGACAGGATCTATTGCAAAAGCCTTCTGATGACCTCATGGAGAAAACTCATTGGAAGTTAGGTCTAAGGTATTGAGAAATCAGAAAGTAACCTTGTTGTTACATGTTTAGGTTGGGTAGTGTCACTTGAATGTAGTAATATTTGTTTCTAGTCAAGTACTTGTAATTTATTTTATATGTTATTATTTGAACTCTATGTGTATGTATATTTTTTAATTTTTTTAAAAAATGGAAGAACATTTTTATTCCAATAATATTGGTGTACATTATTTTACAGTTTCACTGTTACAAGTATGTTGAAATTAATTTCAGAGGTGTGAGTTTCATTGTTTAATTTTCTGCTCTCTTAAGATATATGAAATGCCAGAACATAGGAATTCAATATTATTAACTCAGGAAGAAAATGATTTGGTGTTTAGCCTTGTGGGTTATAAATGTGAGGTGGGGATATTTATGTACTTCCTAATTTAGGCTAATTAATTATATTGTGTATTTATAAATAATCATTATTCATTTAGACCATAGCAACTACTGTGATTGAGCTTTATACTACTGGGGGACCCAAAAATGGAGAATGGTTTCATAAAGAAACTGGAGTTCTGTGTTTAGTGAAAGACAGCAATAAGAAGTCATACTTTTTTCGCATTTATTGCCCTATCAGAAAAAGGCTTTTATGGGAACATGAAGTTTATAACAATATTCAGTATATCACTCCTACAAAATTTCTTCACACTTTTGAAGCAGAGGTAATATTTCATATCAATTTTATTTAGTGAATGGAGTTAATATATATGTTATCGGTAATACAATTGTAGTGTCACTTCTTAATGACAGATGCATTTAGATCACATCGTTTATACTGTACATGAAATGCTGAAACAAGCCTAGTGTATTCAAAAGTATAAATCAGAGACTGGCATCTTCCTATTTTTCATTGTAAATAAACATACCTTTTTCTTTTTTTTTTTTTTAGATATTGTACATTTCATTATTTCGTTAATTATAATCTTGTTGTAAATTTTATTTATATCTGCAGTATAGTTTATTTAATCATATTTGTTGTAAATCTAAGCTGTCAAAACAGACACCATTGGCAAGCCCTGGCTAACTTCTGCAATCCATTTACTGCATCGTCATGTGAACTTGCTTCATGTCATCCAGACATGATATCACTTTAATATTACCATTATTTCATTTTCAGGATATAAATATACATTTATGTATTAACTTAGCTGCATTTATCTGAACTGTTTCATTAGATTTGTATTGTTTTATATTTTCTTTTGGTATATCTCACTTTGTATTATATCAGTTCTAATTGTATTTAATTGATTAACCATTCTTAAATGATTAATGGTTACTAACTAATAATAATTAATATCTTCTTTATTTTTATTTCTTGATGGAAATTATTATATTCTAATAAGTATGTTTTACTAAAAAATTGAATATGTTTCTTAGGGGCTTTGTTGGAGTTTTATGTTTAATCGATCAAGTATTAATCGCACACTAAATTTATTACTTTAGCAATATATGCCGAAATTTCGGCATCCTTTGTTTAACATGTCTGTCGCTAGGTATGTTTGGTGGAATTAATATTTTTTTATTATTACAAGTTTTGTAATATAAGTATAGTATTATATGTTTTTGTGTTACATTTAGAATTTGTATAACGCAGTTGTAAAAAAAATGTTTACCTTCACCAGAAAGAAGGAAGAACATGACAAATCTATCATCTAGATATGGGTGACATAGCTATGAATATGTTAATTTATTAAAATAGTTTTTTCAAGTTTATAATTTTTTTGAGTTGTTAATGATTGTTATTTTAAGAAATAACAATCAGCTTGTTTCATATTGGTAAACATTTCTTTTATTATGAGTTTCATATTATGTTGGTTCAACGTTCAAAAAAGCAGATATCTGTTGACAAACCATATGCATCTACCATTATGATTAGCTACTAAATTTCATATTTTATCTCTTATTTAAAGTTTGATTTTTTTGTTTTAGAACTGCATTGCAGGTTTTAATTTTGCAAATGAAGAAGAAGGATCAAAGCTTCATTCAATTCTTGTGGAAACGTTGGAGATTAGGAGACAAAGAAGAGGTATTCTTTTGATTGTCATACTAAGGTTATACCTTGTTAATTAAGCAAAATTTTTCTTCCTGTATTATTTCTTTGTGAATTTATTATGTTATTTTTATTTTTGAAATTTTGTTATCTTCATTTTTTTAAGGCTAGTTTTTTAGTTTTAATTTTATAAAACAATTAGAATACAGAAGTTTCCCGCTTATCGGTTCTCGTCGGTACTGAGACATCGCCAGCTAAGGGAAGAGCCGGTTAATACGGAGGGTATAAAAAAAAACTTTGATATTATTTTAATTTTTATATTGCAGACAAATCAAAATAAAACACACCTTCATCAATAAAGGTGATTAATTCAAGAAGATAACATTTATTGGTCAATTCAATTTAATGATCTACAAAAATTTCTACTAACAATCTTGTCAGCTTTTCACAAAATCAGTTTTGTTTTTTTTCTTTTACCGAACTTAATGTCTTCTCAGCAGCATAATCTCTTCTCTTTTTCATAAAACGAATATCCGTTGCTGTAATCGATTTTGTTGGTAATATAAACAGTTACAGTAGTAAACAGTACTGCTTCGGTAATTATGTAGTATTTCTTATTCATGGCTTTTTAAAAAATAAATGAAGGATAAGGATTTTGTTTCAAGAATAAATTTTAATTCAAATAGATTTGTTTTATTGAGATTCGGTCAATTATAAAAAAATATCAACAAAAACCTTTTTGTCTACATTTTAATCTATTTAAAATTCATCAAACTGCAACATAACAAAAATTAAACTTCTAGCCAGTGGTTGACAATCTCACAAAGTTATAAGGGCTTTTAAGGTTGTTAAAAAATAACTGTTTTTCCTTTTACCTCTACTGCCGGTAAATCTGGAGAGCCGGTTATGCGGAAGTTACTGTATTTTTAATGAGACATCTTCGTATTTCTACCATTTTTTTCCATAGATGAGGAATGTACTTTACTATCTTAATTTAGATCAGTATAACTTTTCATAAACAATTTTGTTGCTCTTGGTTCATAGCATTTCCCACTGTGTTGTCAATAGAATAGTGAAAGAGATATATCAGCCTTTGTTGTTTTATGCTAAGGTTAAGGTGTGGTGAATTTAAGGATCAAAATTTAGATTTTACAAACTGCAGAACCATCCGAATCCTCTCGTTTCAAATCTTGCTTCGTCCTCGATCCCTGATAACCCTCCGAGGCATCTGAAAAAAAGAAAGTCTCAGTACCTTCTAATATAGAACTTTAATTTGAGTTCTACCAATGGGTAGTTTCTCTTCATGTTGTACATGTCATCTTACCAATGTCACATTTACTTGTTGTATTTTCCATGTAATACAGTTGTAAATTTCAATAAAATAAAATTTAAAAAATAAAAATTAGATTTTAAATTCTAACTATTATTAAATTCTTATTACTGCTTCAATTCCCCACGATAACTGTAGCTATCTGGGATTAGAGTACTAACACATTGAGAAGAAAGACCAATAAAAAACTGCTTACAGGAACTGGTCAATCAATATCCCATGATATGAATTCACTGAGGTTAAGATGGGTGTAGCAATTCATGTGGAAGCCCCTACATAACAATGAATGCGTCAACAGAAGACAAAAGACCACGTGAAAGATCAAAAAGCAGATGGATAGAAAGAATCAACAAAGATACAATAGAGCTTCGTAGAGATAAATGGAAAGAAATAGCCCAAGGCGTGCAGAGATGGAACAGGCTTGTTAAGGTAGCAAAAGATCTACATGGTATGTAATACCAACAGAAAAAAAAATTAATAGGTTTCAAAACTCTGAAGGAATCAACAGAATGAAATAGGACAAATTGTGATTCAAATATTTGATTTCTACATTGTCACAATAAAGTTCCTTTGGAACATATTAGGTCTTGCATTTTTAAGCCATAAAATTTACTATTTTTAAGATAGTGCATAATTCCAGCTACAGTCACCTTGATGCCACATTTGCCATGCATTACTTATGACATATGGAGATTTTTAAAAGTTATAATATCACTATTTATTGTAGCCTATGATGATAAATTAAAATTTTATTAAAAAGATAAATAAAGGTGGACAACCTTCAAACTAAGGGGACACCTTGTCTAATACAAACCTTTATTAAAAGTAAACAGGTTTAGTGAACAAATTTTTTATTTTACTGAATCACCATAACGGTAATCGAGTTCTTTTTCAAGTTTAGTTGGCTTCTTTATTCCACTTTTTATAAGTAACTGAACTACAAACTGAGAAACCTGCTTTTCTCTTCCAATATAATAGTTCTCTAAGGATACAGTTTTATGTTGCCGTCTTGACCAGCCTTCTCCATCCCTGCCTATCTCGGGCCATAGCTTTCCAGTTATCTGCATGCAACTCTGCAGCATCTCAGTAGTTGATTCGATCCATCCATCTGGTTTTTGTCCTTCCACATAGTCTCTGGCATAGTATTGAGGCAATCATTGTTATGTAGAAGCTTCTTTATGGATTATGCCCATCTTATCCTCCTTCATTTCATTTCTCGAGATACTGATTGACCAGTTTCTGTAAGCAATTCTTTATTGGTCCTTCTCATCATTGTGTTAGTACTCTGATCCCAGATCGCCATGGTTACTGTGTGGAGGATTTTCCTCTAAAATTTTTCAATTTAAAATTTGTTTCTAGGGTGCTGGTTGGTGTCCAGATCTCACAGCTGTATATCCGAACTGGCTTCATCACAGCATTGTATACCTTTAATTTGATATTTCTTTAGATTTTTTTGGAATATCGATACTTCTATACTATTTCTGAGCGTTGGTCATTCATTGAGGATGTGGAGCCACGTTTTTTGAATTTCTCCAATCTCGGGAATAGTTTCACTTCTATACAGATCCTGTTGTTGGGGTGGAACTCTTGGCTTACTATCATATATTTTGTTTTATCTTAATCTACTTTTAGGTCAATTTGCTCTACTTTTCTTATTATAGTGTTAGCAAGGATTTTATGATTTATTCTGACTTATTTACTTAATTAATTCTGATTTATTTACTTTTTTCTACCATTATGTTTAGAACTTTTTTTTTCATTTTGCCAGCATCATTATCTATTCATTTTTTAAATTTGTTTATAGTTGAAAAAAATAGAAGAAATAGATACAATAATTCGCATACGATAAAAGTTGCACCTCATACAAATGGTGTAAGTTATGGTAGTCCATTAATATCACCAACTGTAACTGAAATAGCCAAGAAAGAAGGAAAGAGGAAACAGAAGTTCTCCAAATCTGATATTGGACCTCCTCAAGATTTTCGACATGTTTCTCATGTTGGATGGGATCCTCATAAAGGCTTTGATTTAGAAAAGGCTGATGATCCGCAACTCAAAGAATTTTTCGCCCAGGTAAAACATAGTTGTTTATTTATTTATTTTTTTATTATATATATCTAAATTTTTCAGTGAGATTCTGTGAGGGTTTTGAAAAAAAAAAATGAGCTCAAAACACTGACAAAGTATTATATAAAATGTGTTTAATTTGTCTGTTATAAAAGTATGTTAGCATTTTTTGAGTGAACAGCTATTTTGGGAGTGAAGGCTGTTTTACGCAATCAAACTCTTCCGGTCCAGTTTTTAGTATAAACTCAGTTTGTTGGTGAAACTTTTATCATGTAACCTGTAAAATTTTACCATGTAGAGATTTGTACATTCTACATCAGCGCTTCTTATGTATACTATGTATGTATGTATACTATGTATGCGCTTATAGAGACATACTATGCTGTATTTACCACCATTTCCATTGTAATTGTTTGTGTTAGCTTTGTGAAAATGTGTGTATGGAAACATGAGCAAGTTTTTAAGTTAATAAAACTTATTGAGGCCCTTTATACCGTCAAGTTTCTCAGCAAAAGTAGTTTGCTTAGCATCAATCTGAAATGACAAAAAATTTGTGATTCAAGTTCCCGTTCTCATTGATAGATCTGGAGAGATGTGGAATAGAGGAAAATACCTATACTATATAATAAAATATGTACAGGAAAAATATCCTTGTGTTGTCTTAAATATTGTTATTCATAATTAAGAATCCAATTATCAGATCGAAATCCTATAAGTTATATTCATATCAATATTTTTATTATTATTATTGACTATTATAATTGGTTGCCTTTTTCTTCTTTTGGTTATCAAGGAGCAGCCTGCTCTCGGTGATATTCAAACCACCATATTGGAGTAGCGAAATGAAACTGTAAAGTATGCTTCCCTACATTATAGTTTGGAAGCAAAAACATATGTTATTTATTTTTTGAACCTTGTTAGCGTATAAATGTGAATAAATCACAGTTGGTGTTTAACATTCAGAGTGTTAACATCTTGCTTATGCAGAACCTATGTACTATCTTGATCTCTTCTAACTGTACACAAGGAGTACCCTTTTACTAATTTATTTTGATTATTATTTCTTTCTTTTTTATTAATTTGGATAATATGTAATACTTTTGAATATTTTCTTTTTTTATTTCTTTAATTTGTCAATTCAATTAATGGAGGCTGAATTAGAACAAAATCCTCCTCACATTGAGGGGAACATTTTTAAATTTAAAGGAAGATGATCACAGAAATACCTAAGAAGTGGCGAGCTCCCATGAAGATCGTCCATCACCCCCAAAAGTCGCCCATCCAGGTCGTCACCCCGGGGTCATTGCCCAGGCTGCTAAGGCCGTCTCTGGCTAGAAGTCAAAATCTGTTTAGAGGATTCTTAACAAAGCTGGCTCTTGTGAAGTTAATATCATTTGTTTTATTCTATAGGTTTCCTAATCTTATAGGTTGCTTACTTTTTTCACTGTCAAATTTCTTGTATAGTACTTTTTAGTGTATATCCAAACAGTTTATTGTTTTGTCACAACCGTAGAAGGTACGTCGTGTAGAAGTAAGTATAAGACATTTTTTTATTAGTTATTCGTTATTCCTAGAATAAAACTAATGATGTTAACTTGACCAGAGCTAGCTGTGGTAAGACTAATATAAGACTGAAGAAATTATAGAATTAGGATTGTTATTAATACTCGTCACTTCATTCAATTATTGGTGAAAATCACTCCAGTATCTAATTTTAATATATTTTAACCTCCATAGTTTTGACTTCTATCTCTAAAAACTTAGGGAGTTATTCACTCTCCAATTTAATAAATATAAACATTATTTTGTTGACCATACCGACACCGTGATATGCAGAAATATTTTAAAATTAATATTATAATAAATCTCATTAAACTGAATGGTCGCCTCCAATGAAATTTTATCATTTGGAAGAGTATTGCATGCTGTTTCAAGCAATATATGGTTGTCTTTGGACATAGCAATTTTTACTTATATATATAACTGACAAATTAAATTTTAATGTATTAGGTTTAATTTCTAATATAACTCAAAATCCCACTAATATTACTTTTTCATTTAATAGAGAATTTCATCCTGTTTTCACTAATATATAGTTGTATTGGGGCATTCAGAGAGAGATTTTAGCTACAGGTATTTTTCGATATTGATTAATACACCATTACCACCCCAGGCAAAAACTTATTTGATTCACATTGTATAAATCTCATATTATAATAAATCTCTTTTAACTCAAAATTTCACAAATATTATTTCATGGTTTTCTGGAAAATTCCATGCTCTTTTCAGTGATATGTGGTTATACTACGATATTTGGAGAGAGATTTAAGCAATTTTCACTTGTATTTGTAACTGATAAATTAAAATTTACTGTATTGGGGTTAAAGTTTAATATAACTATCCGAACTCAAAAGCCCACTAATATTATTTTTGTATTTGGTAGAGAATTGCATGCTGTTTTCATTAATATATGGTTGTATTTGAGTATTTGGAGAGACATTTTAGCTACAGGTAGTTTTAGATATTTTTATCACTATTGAAAATTTATGTTTAATAATTTTTTTATACATTAAGAAAAATTATAATGCTAAAACTTATGGTATCAGCAGATTTTGTATTAAATTGATGACAAATGAATAAATTTAGGTCAATAAATACTGGTTTTACAAATGAAAATCAAACGGGTACATGGTGGTTTTCAGCCCAAAATGTGTTCCCATTTTTAAATATTTCAAAAGTTTAAAATCCCCTAATTCTAAAACTAATTGTTAGAATTGGCTAAAATTTGTCATTTTTACTTACATGTATATTTACAAATTTTTATCAAGATCTGAGAGGAATAAATTACAAATTGATGTTTTTCTGGATGATTTGGCATGGAATGACCCTAAGGTTATTTTCAGGCCCACCTAGCCGAAAAATATGTTAACTACTATCTCGACTGTCTGAGAGAAACTTAAGGGTCTATTAAATCTGTGATGATCGCTCCTAGTGGTTGAAAACCAAAGTACTTAATTTCATGTTCTAGGACAAAAAGCTTAGTCCGAGAAACTTTACCGTGTAAAATGGCCTTGACAGTGCAATAAATAGCCATATTAAAGAAAAAAACTGAAGATAATTAAAGATTCCGAATTTCAACATTGTTACACAACCTAAACATTGAACTATCCAGTTTTTAAGAAACTGAAATTTTATCAATTTATTCTTGGGGACTTCCCACACCCAAAATTTGTATTTTCCTTACAAAATTTCTTAAAAACTAGACTTCATCTAGATTTATAAACAGGACTTTCTCAAATTACAAAACAAACTAGGTAATTCAGATTTTATCTATACCAATGTCTTCAAGAGCTCCATTGGTGTTGGAGCCTCGGTTATGTGCAATAGAAGAAAGCATATTTTTTTCCTCATCACCAATATGTTGTAATTATACAGTGGAAATGGTTTCACTTTACCAAAGTATAAATATTATCCACCTAACAAACAAAAGAAAAAGTTATCTACGGACTTATTATCAACATTACTTAGTTTAAATTTTTTTAAAAATCTAACGTCATCATTCAAAACATTTTATACTCATAAAAGTCTGCACATGGAAACAATATTTCAGTTTTTATCATTCGGGTTCCTGGACACTCAAATTTGTTCAAAAAAGGATCTTGAATGATGCATACATTTCAAGGCTAATGTTACATTTAAACTGGAAGTTGAGAACGAAAGCGAAGGTTATGTAAAACAAAAACAAATCAATAGCTGATATAAATGATACTGGAATGAAGATTTGAGAATACCAACTTAATTTAGTAAGTTTTTGGGAGAACAAAAAGGTAGAAAGGAAGTGACGAAATAGAATCACTAATAGGAAGTGTTTAAACGACTTTATTTAGAACTCGGAAACCAAATCAAAACAGATTATTTTTCATTATAGTGGCTTATTTTCCTTTTAGTTGAAACTGTTTAATCATTTGAAAAATAATTAAAAACATCATCTTACGAAAATGAAAAAGATTAAGATTATTTTAAGATATGTATGTTAAATTTGGAAACAGATTTCTTATTAGTTAAATTTTTCTCTCTCATATTGTTAACGCTTGCAGCGTTATTATTTTTAGTTAATAATTGTTTTATTTTATAAGAAGTAAATTCCTTTTTGAATAGTTTTAAAAAATGACAAATTCTACTCTCATTTGAAGAAAATTGTCTCTAGTTTACAGTGAAGTCATTTTAAATTACATAAATTAAATAGTTTTTTAATTATCACTTCCTATTTAACAAAAAACTTTAATTCTCTATTTTCCTATTTCATAAAATCGGGCCATTGTTTGTGTAAACTGTTTTATAGCTCTTGAGGGGTACTATCACTCCTATTAGTATTTCCCTCTATTTACAGGACACGCTGTATGTATATTAACTTATCTTTTATTTCACAGATGGGTATCCTTCACACCTTCAATTTACATTCTAATTTTTAATGTTACTATTCTTCAATATCAGAACCATTGACTTTATCATTAGCTTTTCTGTATCTAAATAACCTTAATGATTTTATTATTATCATTTTTTTATGTATTTAATCGTTTTACTACTCATAAATTTCTGTTGTTTTGATCATTTTTTTTTTTTTTTTTTTTTTTTAATAGGCTGGAGTTTCAGAAACCCATTTACGAGATAAAGAAACACGAGAATTCATTTATGACTTTATAATAAAAAATGGTGGTATTGATGCTGTAAAAGAACAAATAGAGCCAATGGAACCACCGCCTATTCCAGCTCGTTTTAGGGCTCCTCCGAAGCCTCCAATTAAAAACTTAGGACCACCACCACCTCCACCACAGCGCTTTCCGCCTTCAAAAAGCGTACCTTGTGTGTATATATTAATTACAATTTTCATATTAATTACATTGATACATGTTATACGCATGTAATATATATATTAATTACAAATAAATATTACTATAAAATTAAAAATTTATTAACTTTGTTATTAAATTAAGGTTACAATAATTAGATACTGCTATTAATTAATTACAACTAATGCTCAGGACATATGAAATTGTGGAAATGATATTTCTCTTTGTAGTTTAAACAAGGATAAAGACATATAATGTAAAAAATTAAGGAATAATTTTAATTTAGTTCTTTAAAAAGGCAATTAAGTTTCATGTTTATAACCTGTTTCTATCTTTCTTAATATTATATTTTCTCTAGAAAATAAAAAATAAGCTTTTTTACAATAAGGTCATACTTATTAACAGGTTTTTGTTGTGAATTTACGTCCTCGTTTGTGAATTTATTATGATAACAGACAAGTTTGAAATTTAAAAAAAAAAAAGTTAATGTAAAATGTTGACGTAAGAAGGATTACATATTATTTCTCAATTCTTTATTAGCTTAACATTTTGGGTTTAGCTACCCATTTTTAAAAAAAGCTAACTTTGTCTTCAAATTTATAAAGTATGGTTTCATGCTTCTTATATCAGCATATTCCAAAACTAAGGTCTATTTGGTTATAAAAAAAAAAAAAAAAAGCTCATGAGAAAAGATTTTTAGGGATAGTAATATTTTACTACATCTATCTACTTTACTTCCACATAATCGCCATTCACATCTATAAACTTTTTATAATGGTGCACCAGCTTCTTTAACCCCTTTGCGTAGAAGTCTGGCATCTGGAAAATGAGCCAGTTGGTAACATGAATCTTTTGAGTTCATTTTTGTTTTGAAATCGTTGTCCACCCCAAGCAGTGTATTATTATATACAAAAAGAGGAAATAGTTACTTGGTAACAAGATTGGGACTGTATAGAAGAAATCAAAAAGTTCCCAATGAAAATCTTGAATCTTCTCTTCGATTTTGACAGTGGTGTGAGCTAATGCATTTTCATGAAGGAGGATTATGCCATTAGGGGATGCATTAGCTAGACCTCTAATGTTAATCGCTGATGACTTTAAAGTTTTTGGTTCACTTGATTAACTATGTCGCATACTGCACCTGCCACTTCTATAGGGGGCGGGGTGGCCGAAGGATTTGAGTAGGATATATGAAGTTTTGAGAGATAAAAAAAAAGTACAAGTTCGCATTCGCATCCCTGTGCTGGAGGGGATTTTAAATTCCCCGCCATCACCTTCCTACCCAGAGAAAAAACGTCTGCCAAGTAAGGTCAGTATAGCTTCCTCAGCGTTTCTGTTGTACATTACAAGATATACAATTTTTCGTATGAGAATAAAATCTCTGAGAGAAGCAGAATCGGAATAGCCGATTACAGTTACCCTTCAACATTCAACAAAAGAGGGTCGTATTTGAATATTCCATACTTGATTCTGCTTAATAAATAAATTTAAAAAAATGCATACTGAACATGAATTTCAATACTGTTAGTTCAATAGGTCTTATGTATAAATTTATTTATTGTTTTACAAGAGTGCATAAAAACTCAATATTTCTTTATGCTTTATTAGAATAATTTCATATTTTATTTTCATCTGCTATTTTCCATAGTAGCAGACTACTTATATCAGTTGCAGACTACAAAATATCACCTTTAATACACATAGAATTAAAGTTGAAAATTATTACATACGAACTTATGCTCTAATAATAGTATATATATTATTTCCAAACAATTATACATATAAAGTAACATTAAATTCCTAGTTATAAATAAAAATAAATAAAAGGTGATTCTAATTATTGGACTAAAGTTTTTTTTAATCATTAGTAATATGCTAAAAAAAATAGCATTACTTCAGTAACACATTCAAAAACCGAAAATCGAACGAGCCCTTTCTGAAATATTGGCATATCTAAAAATATACATTTGCGCGTGCGTAAGCGGAAGTGCTGGATGGAATTTGATAAAATTCATATGGGACCATCTAGGAACCAATCAATATAATCCCTGAAAATTTCATGAAGATTGGATGAATGGTACTAGGTGATATGCCCGTCACATCGATTTGACTACAGACAGACAGACACCGAACCAAATTTGATCCTTGATGTCTGAAACGTATAACGCGAGTGAAAATTTTCGATTCGGAGCAAAAAAAATTTTTTTAATCTCTCGCGAACACAATGCTTCCCTACCTTCAGTAGTGAGGAAGCAAAATAAAGAAAAAAAACTGATCAACTGACTAAGCACAAGGCTATGACTCCCTAAACATGGTGGAACTTTTCTAAGTAAACAATTGCAGAATGGCTATTAATATGTATGCCATAATAACAAGGTTAGCAATTGTCATTCCAGTTACAGATATTTTTAGCTTGGATCAGTATACCTTATTACTATAAATTTTTATTATTATAAAATATTCATAAGCTATATACATATTGAGAAGTTTGTACTGCTATTTTACACATTAAAATTATTAGAAATACAATCAGAACTTCTAGGCAAAATGCTTTGGTGCACATGTGGTGGTGCCAGGTAGTGGGCAGGTGAACTAATTGTCTGCTATAAGCTAATAAAGAATTGAATTAATATGAAGGCCTTTAATATTTAATAATGTTTTCTACATCATTTTGCGATGAAAACGGCTAGTGGGTCATTGAGTAGGATAAAACTTAGAAATCAGTTTTTTTGTTATAAAACTGTTTTAGGAAACCTAAAATACCATGTATATGCAGTAATAAAAGGTCTTAGAGTATTCTGTTGAAATTATGAGTTTTGCATAAGCTTTTATTCAATGTTAACATTTATCATCAAACTTACAAAAACAATGATAACTCACCTAATGTCCTGATCATGAGTGACTTTCTGAATCCATAAGATCTTCGATATTTATAAGAACTAATAAAAAAAAATATATTAACTTAGAACCTTCCTTCCATCTGTTAGATAATTGATCTTGTAGATTTATATTCTACATGACAGTTATTAATGTGAAATAGTTACTCCGTAGCAATACAAAATATAACAATTATGATAAACAATCTTTAAATTAGCAAAATACATTTTCTAAATAATTAAAATCCTGACACTTTAATTTGTAGAGATATATTTTTGACGAATAGAGAATGAAACTTCAAATTTACTAATGTCTCAAAAAGTTTTTGATATTGTAACCTCATTTTGATATTAATTTGTAAATTGATATTATTCTAGCTACACCAAAACAGGTTGCTGTTGTTGAGCCTATATTCGCGCCTCCCCCTCCACCACCGCCTCCTGGACCACCACCTATGCCTGTTGCAGAAGAGAGTTACACTCGCAATAAATCAGCTATGTTAGAAGAGCTTACTTCTAAAGGCAACCAATTAAAGGTATGTTTGTTTTTATTATGTTAATTATAATTTTCTTAATATACAGGATGAGCAGGAAGGAACAGGCCAAACTTCAGGAATGGATTGCACACAGGAAAATAATAATAATAATAAAAAAAAATGATATGTTCTTATCCGATTTTCATTTTTTAAAAGTATTATTATCTATATCATTACAAATAAACAATATTTCACACATGTATTAGCATTTTGATTTTGTTTAATGAGGTCTGTAAAGCCAGCAGAAAAAAAAAAATTAAACAGCATGTATGCCATCATTTCTGGATATCTTCTTGATTTGAAAAAACTCAGATGTAATAAATTTATTGCAAAGCGACATTTTCATCATTAATGTTCTAACATACATGTTTAATTTTAAACATTTCTTTTCAATTTACTTAAGTTATATTTATTTAAAGATATATATTCAGCCTATTTGGATGGCATATTCAATGTTTTATTACTCCAAAAAACTATTGGTTTTGCATAGACTATATGACTATCTTTGTTAAGGCCTTAATTTAATTGAATTTATATAACATCAATTGGAATTTTCGGTATTGAGAATATATTAGCTTTTTTTTGTTATTAGGTTAATATTGAAATTTAAAATGATATTTATTGAAAGTATTACTGTCAAAACTTAAATATGGTTATATTTGAACACAGCCTAACTTATTTTTTTACTGAAATGAGTTAGGTAGCAATATGGATTAGTTTCATTACATCCGATCGAGTGTTAACCACAAATATATATTTCTAAGATGTTTTACAGTTGAAATATTCTATAAATTTTAAGAAGGGAGTGATTAGAGACGGAGTTAGACAACTTTTTTTAAATTCTTGCAAAATTGTGAAAATTGAATGAGGTGGTGTTAGAATTTATATGATGTTATGTTTATGGATATTACTATTTAAAGTTTCTATTTTTTTATTTGAAATTTATTGATTATTAAAATTTTCTTATCATATCATTAAATTTTACAGCCTCTAAATAATGTAAATAATTCTTCGGAAACTGAAGAAAAGAAGCCACCCTCGGACTCACGTTGTCAGCTTTTGGAGCAAATAAAGATAGGGGTCAATTTGAAACCAGTTAGTACTAATGTAAGTTTTATTTTAAAATTTTTGAAAAATCAGTGTTTGTATATTTTAGGTGTACCTTTAATTAACTAAAAAATTTTAGGTGACACCAGTCCAAAACCGAAATATCCAGGCTAGCGGGCTGGCAGGTGCCCTCGCTCGTGCATTGGCAGACCGTAAGCAAGATATTCAAGGAGATAGCAGTTCTACCTCTGATTCTGATGAAGCCTTTGACGATGAAGAGTGGGATGATTGAATTGTATACATTATTCCAATTAACCATTTTATTCGTTAAAAATTATTATTGTTTATAACGTATTCATTTGTTATTAGGTATTCATTTGTGCAATATAAAACTTTTTTAAAACTTAATGTTATTATATCATGTTTTTTTATTATTTGTCCCTTTTATTTAAAAAACAAAACAACAATTTAATTTGATTTATAGATAATCTTTTATTTATTATTTTGTTGTAAATTAATTATTACTAAACACAATAAATATTTATGATTATTCTGTTTCAATAAGAAATATTTTTTTATGAGATGTATTTTACATCTAATAAAAATATGTTTTATAAATATGTAGAGTTTCTTAGAGTTGATCTATTTTAAAACTTAAATTACTTTTCAGTGGTTTTAACTATTTTTGGTAGTTATGTATGAGTCTACATGCATATTTGGTGCTCATTTTAAAACATTATAATTACAATGATATTTACTGTGGGTACTGTATTTCAGTTTTCATGCATATTTTAAAGAGCAACTTAACAATCCAACTTGACAGGAGAGAACAAAAACTAGGTAACCTATTTTGGAATGGGGGTATAGTCAATTTGTCTATTCTATCTATGTTTACCGTTTTGATTTATGTCACCAAGCATTTAGTTTGTTTTTATTATGATTCTCTGTTTTGATGATTATTATTAATTGTTGGTCAATCTTTTTGTTAAAAAACATTTCTACTTTTACATCTTTCGAACAAAATATGGTATTCTGCTGTGATTATGCCTACAATAAATGCAGTGAAGCCTATTTTGTTTTGCATAATTAATTATTAACTATTACTACTAACCTATAAGCACAAACAAAGAGCCTTTTTTATGATATGACAGTTAAATTTCATATCATTTTTACATGTAATTTAGTGTTCCATATAATAGAAATTTGATTTGATTTACAGACAGTTATTTTAAATAAAAATTCAATACTCTTTAAGGAAGTTCGATATACATAGATTCGACTTTTTTCTTGTGTTAGGCTTAATATTGTAATGTTTTCCTAAACATAAATAAATATTTCTGAAACGGGCCTGAAAAACTGTCAATTGAAAAATAAGTTATTAAAAATTTAATTTATTTAGTCTCTGATTTTGATAATTGTCAATATATTTTGAAATCTTTATACCTTATTTTCATTGAAATGTGTCTAAAAGGCAGAGATATTCAAGCATAAATTTCTTGAGAAGGGCTCAATGGATTTTTGTAGTTGGTGGACCGAATTATTCAAAATTACCTTTAATGCATTTTGTATTCTTTTCATATTAATGATGAAATGGAAAGGTTTACTGTTGGGAAATCTTTAATTGTTGTATTTAGCTCTGGCTCGAAGAGCATGGTCAACTCCTCACTTTTACTTTAAGGAAGAGTAAGGTATACCAATGGTCTGCAACTTATAGAGAAGGTTATGAATTTACCCGTAATTTCTTGCCATGGCTGAAACTAGGGAGGAATAAAGGGGCTAATCGTCTCAGGCAGCAGAATTTACTAGGATGGCTAATTAAGAGAAGGATGGTTGGGGTGATAAGTCAAAACAAATAATAAATAATAATATTTATTTTTACATTAAAATAAATATTATGGGTGATAATTATTTAGGATGCAGTCTTTTTAAAACTTTTTTATTTTTGCCAACGTTTCAACCCAAACATGTGGGTCATCTTCAGGGCTGAAAATGTTTTTTAAAATTACAATCAGAGATATAATAGTATACATCTGCTAATTATAAATAATAAACTATAGTGATTGATGGCACATGAATCTTAACTAATATTGTAATACACATATTAAAATTAAATATTAAAATAGTTATATAAACTAAAAATAATGTATATAATTCATTAATATAAATTTGTAATATTTTCTCTTATTAACCGTGGTTTGAGCACTGAGGGTGTTCAAATATTGACACATGTTTGGTAGGTAAGTAAAAAGGTCAGGGGTGGAGGATTATTTTATTTTGACTGATCATCCCAACAAAATCTGAAGATTTAAGTTGTAATATAAAATCTGAAATTGATTCAAACTGAATATCCACAGATTAAATGAACATTGCTACAGAACAAATAATTAAAAAAAGTAAAAGGGTTTCAAAAATTAAGTAAAACTTTTTTTTTCTTAACAATTATAGTAATTTGTTCAACAAACTGAACAATAAAATATCTTCAAACTTATGAACTTAAAATGGAGAAGGATAATTATGATAATAATGGATATAGTTTGGAAACAATTGAATCAATAGGCAAAACTTTAGGAAGGAAAGAAAAAATAATGTAATGTATTAACTTATAATTGTCACAACTTAAAAAATACAGATGGCAGTCAACTGCTATTATAAAATAAAGAAAACAATATCAAGCAACAGGGAACAAAGATTTTCTAATTATAGTTTTAATTAATGACTTTTTTAATTAAGTTATGATATATTGTTTTCTTTTGTGTTAATTATATATATATATATATAATTATTTTATATTTTATTCTATCTACAATATCTGCATAGTGGCCATTCAGGTTCTTTTTATCAATTTTAAAATTGATAGTTTTTCAAAATTTATGTTGCTCATAAGATTTTCCTGTTTTGGATTGAATTTCTATTAACTTCTCACAAAATTTAAATGAGAATAAGAATCATTTAATGAAATGAAATATAAAAGTTTTACGAAAAAAAAACAAACATTGTACAGCTTTTGATAAACCAATTTGATGTTCCTAAGTTTAGTTGAGTAGATATTGTATGAATTAGTTGAAATTCAACCTCAATTTTAAAAAGTTTTGTAGTCATGACCTCGCAAATTTCTCCTTTGCTTTCAAGTTAATGTGCACTAGTTATTTATAGATTTAAAAAAATGTATTCCTAAAAATAATGTTTTGTTCAGAGATCAGTCAGGTTTTACAAAAACCCACAATATATATATTAATTCTCATACTGCTTTAGCCTTAAAGGTATTCACTATAGTTTGGCCAAAACTTCTGTACTGTAGGCAAAAAAAAGGCTTTTTTGTGTTAAAATAAACAAATCTCAAAAAATCATTTAGAATAGACTTCTCAGGCAACTGTCACTCGCTTGCCAAAAGAAATTTTTTTTAATAGCTTATACTAGAGCTATTGGTATAGAGATGTTTCTAGAGTGTGGTAAATCAGTGGCATAGTAACCATGGATCAGTTGTATCCAGATGAAGAAGAGATACATTGAGTGAAAAATAAAATTAATATAACTTACAATTATAATCATTGTCAAAATACAATAGAGATTTTTTCTGTTATTTTATAAAAAAGGTAACAGTTTAATCATTGACTAAAAACAACTTTTTCAAACACTTTTGAAAAATCTGAGCTGAACGCTAAGGGTTTCTTTTATATTATTGTTCCTTCTATGTATTTAATATACTTTTATTTGAATGTATTACCTAGTTTATAAGGATATTAAAACATATTTGGTTTAAACGTCAGAATTTATTTTGACCCAAATAGTTTTTTGAGTTTGAAGCAAATATTCATAAAGTTAATTTTTATTAGTCATTAATTTCTCTTCCTTTAGAAAAATCTAATGTCGAATAAAAAATCATGACCAATAATCCAGAAACTAAAAAGAAAATTAGAACTAAGAACGGGGATATCCAAACTGTAAAACAGTTCAAATACCTCGTGAAGTACAATAGGAGTTAATAAAATTCAGATTTTATTAACTCGTGATTCAGAGTTAATAAAAAACAGAGAAGCGAAGTTAAACAGACTTCGGTATCTTATTAAAAATCTTTATAACCAGAAGAATCTTTCCAGAAAAGCAAAGATAAGATATTATGAAACAGTAGTTAAACCTGTATTATTATATGGAATGGAGAAGATGGGATTTTCCAGTACTGAAAAGCTATTGAAAACAGAGAGTAAGACCCTAAGGTGTATCCATGGACCAAGAAAGGTGGGACATGAGCACTGGCCTAAAAAGGATCAAGAATTGTATGAAGATTTCGAAGATCTAGAAACAACAATGAGAAAAAGGAGATTGAAATTCTTTGGTCACATGAAAAAAATGAGTAAAGATAGGATAAACAAATAGATATTTGACAAAGTAATGGGATTGAAGGATATCCTGAGCATATAAAGGAAGAAGTAGTAAGATTTGGGATAAAAGAAGATGAATACCTAGATAGGGATAAATTCAGAGGGAAAGTGAATAAGATGAAGGTCCTTGGAATAGAAAGGAAGGGAGAAAATGGACAGATGAATGGGAAAAGGAAATGAGTTAAAAAATAAAGAAATTTTGGGCTAAAAGGAAAGTCAAGAAATAATGATATATGCACAGTCCTCAGCTGGCCTATAAAGAACTGATCCATATATTTGTTAGCTTCAATAATATATAACAAGAGGCCTAATTAAAAAAAATGGAGAGGAAGATGGTCCTGGGTGGCAGTCGTAAATAGACTAAAATAGTGGCAAAACTATTTTATTAAAAGCCAACGTTTCGACCTGACTTTGCAGGTCTTCTTAAGGGAGGCATGTTCAGCAAGCAGTTTCACTTAAATCTAAAGTGTCAGGTCGAAACGTTGGCTTTTAATAAAATAATTTGGCCACTATTTTAGTCTATTTATGACCGCCACCCAGGACCATCTTCTTCCTCTATAATACAACGATCAAATATTAAGTATTCAATAAAAAAATTATTATTTTTTTTTTTTAGTTGTAAAGTGAACAATTAATGGCTACATAGTATTTCTGTCCCTTTCTTAATTTTTTACAGAAATGTAATAAAACACAATAATTATTTAATTTTAGGTATAAAGTAATTATTTCTTCATTTTTATTCACTGTCTACTTTTTAATTGATTTTTCATCCACAATTATTGCTTTTGGTAACACAGCAATGCAAAATTGGTATGTGTAACATTAATCAGAATGGAGATGCAGTATTTTTTTTTTTTTTTTTTTTTTTGTTCTTCCCTACCTCACCTTTTAGGCTATACGGGATTTTCCCGGGCCTGGGGATGAGGGTGGGGAATTTAAAATCCCCTCCGGCACATCATCTCAAATCTCTGTTATCCGGTTGCCAGGCAACTAGCGGTGCTGTGCACACGCTTTAGCCTATTTGGCCACCCCGCCCCCAAATGGGGATGCAG